TATCCAGTTAGCTGTGGTCTCATAATACAACATCACCAACAATGATTTCAATATATGTTTTTTATGTCTGCATAAAAGCACATTCTAAAGCTGAAAGGCCTTTTTAAGATAGTTGCTATCATGTTTGTCATGTTTCTTTGGAATGCTGCACTTTACATGCATCCGTTGGGTCCTCAGCCTTTAGAAAGGGGAATTTTGTGCTTTTTCTCGGTTAATTTAATCACCGGAAAAGTTGTAAAATCAATCATTGATTGATTGATGAATACTTTAATAATCTCACAATGGAGAAATTAACTCAACATGGTTGTCACACCCTCTAATTGTGACATTTATAGAAAGGCTATCCAACTGATATTTATTTTAAACAGTGAGTTCAGAAAAAAACTTATTTTTCTTTGTACAAAAACTAACTGGTGACTTGGACATCTGCGCTTTCAGTTCATTGTCTCTCACTTGACTTTCTCATGGCTGGTTTTCCCACTTCGCTGTGAGTTTGATATCAGTTCAGGACCCCCGTCTTCTTTAGCGCCTCTGCTCTGCTGTTAAACTACATTCCTCCCACCTCTAAAGCCCAAATATTTCCCTCACACAAGCCTGTTACCAGTAGGCCATTCATCAACGTTCAGACGTCCAAACATGCGAGGTGTTAGAGGAGACGGTGCGGCCAGAGAGTTCGGGAATCTTTCCAGTGGACGTGGCTCAGAGAGCGATCAGAAACACTTAGGCAGGCAGGGTTTGTGTAGCAATATGAATATTATCGTCAAGGAGATTGTAAATAAGCAGTTCATCGCATTGAGCTTGCGTAAAATCGAATGTATTTCCAGTTGGACTATTGCGAAAATGAGTTATTGACAGAAAGCCCAGGTTTCATTCTCAGTTTTAGAGACACAACACCACAACAAATTCTACCTCAGAGATGTAAAGTGTTGGGAAAATACCTGTTGATAAAATAAAAGTCCACTAACCAACAACAGAGAAACCATTAAAAGAAAGTCTTCAGAAAAAAAAAACATTAAAAAAACAGCAGAGATTGTTACAGGAACCATTATAATGATCTTTGATGAATTTGTTTAAAATATTTAACATTATTTTTCCACCATCAGAGCCACTGATCAGGGTTTTGAACTCACCAGCAAAGGAGATATTCTGTGAAAAGCCCAAAAAGTTAAATGTACAGTATATAAGGAGGCAAAAACTTCGATGGAAACCAATTCAAACCCGATGGACGCTGTTTTTCAGCAAGTCGTTACATTTCTTAGTATGTTTTCAATACCTTAAAATCCAGATGCCAGTTCTCATCATGTGACTTTATTGTTTTCTAAGGTATAAAGGAACAAAGCAGGTGAGTCAGATTATTGTAATCTTTATCATATAGAGGTTTCAGTCTACTTAAAACCAGCAGAAAAACCCCAAAAGCAATTCCAACCCTTTGAATACATTCAGCTTTTCTTATTTCTGTCTTCTAAATGTACATAACAAAAAGCAGTGGAATCCTACTTACCAGGGAATATGTTTCTGCTGGAAACCTTAGAGATTGGTAATCATGAGAAAGTTTCCTTGACGTGTATCGTTAAAAATGCTTTGCTCAGCAGATTGTGAACTGGCTGACTATAAGATGTCCAGGGAAGGTAAATCCCTGAATTTCAGGCTGTTTTGTTTCAGGCTGAATAAACGAAATCTCCGTTTTAGTTTTTCCAAACCCAACACCAGCTGTCACCATTGTGAACTGAGATTTGTTGTTGTTTTTTACCATCACACTCCAAAAAATTGGGGGTAACTATTTGGGGCTCAGTTTCTTGCTCAAAGATTAACTTAATAATATAATATTAATACATTTTACTTTTAAAAAGCGCCTTTCATGCCACTTAAGGACACTGTACAAAGACGATCGTCATTAAAACAACATTGAAACATAAGAAAACATACAAAGTCATAAATACATCATAAATAAAAACATCATAAAGGAATACAAATGGAATGAATAAAGTTGTGCAAAAATGAGGGGAATGTTAGAGTTAGGGGTGGTAAGGTGGGTAAGAAATTTTAAACAGGTAGGTTTAGAGTTTTGTTTTGAAAAGAGGGAGAGAGTCGGTATTTTGGATGTCAGATGGCATAAACACAAACACAAATCGGTGACCTTTGGGGATGTAGGACTTACCGCAGTGAGCTTTTTTACGGCTGACATTTTGAATGATCACGGCTTAGAAGCTACAGGTGTTTCAGATGTACTCCGTTTCAGATTCTGTGTCATGAGACACCAGAGAGGAGTTCCGTGGAATTACGGAGGTGTGTGAGTCAGTTTCCTGTTTGTGGAACATGCTGTGATTAGAAATGGTGCCGTGGTGGTCACACTCAATCCTCTACTCACTTTATATCCCTTCGAAATGTAAAACACATATTTTCCCAGAAAAGATTTGGCAGACGGTAAATGTTAAAGGACAATTCCACTTTACTTTACAGCAAAAAACAGCTACTGTATGTGTGTAAAGGAGGTTAAAAACGTGTGCTAATTTGGAGATAGAGAGTCAGAATGAATTTTCAAGACAAAAAATCACTACTTAAATGCAAATTTTTAAGAATTTGGACATAGAGACCACTAAATCTGAGCAGCCACTAAGATACAAGACCTTTGAACGGCGAATCAGAGTGCAAGCTTTTGAAATTAAGTGCGGAAAATGTGGGTTTTGCACTTTCGAAATACCAGAATTGTCATTCTAAAAGACACATTACATGGCAAAGTTGAAAGCTTTGCAGAGTGGAGCTTCCTCTCCCATCACATCCGGCTTACCCGCAGCTATGTGGAGCTTTCCCCGGGGGGGAATGTGTTACTGGGCAGCGGCCCAGTGGAGATCTGCGGCCTTATCCTCGGTGACAGGTTTCACACGCAGCTCCAGGTCCCGACGCCCAAATAACAGCCAGACGTCTTGTTTGCCATCGTTCTGCGGCCTGCTTCAAATTACCAGCTGGCTCTTTGAAGCCGGCTGACGAAGACCTAGGGGTTTCCCCCCCCCCCCCCCCGATTCCCGGCCAGAAACATACCGGTTGGTCAACAGCCCTGTCACCCGACGCATATCTTGGGTGACCTCCGAAAAAAAGAATGGTGCTTACTTAGGAATCTGATCAAGGGGGACATCGGTAATGTCCAACAAACGATCCAGATATGAGATCTTTTCTGATTTCACAGCAAAGTTTTGGTTGTAATACAAGCCTCTGTGTGTTGCTTTTAGAAGCAGTGGTGTTAGCCCTACCACTATCACATCAAAGGCAACGGGCTTAAAATTGTAAGAAGCTACAAGTACTCTAAATAGTGAAGGTCTGACTGGGAGCTTTAAAGAGATTCAGCTGGTTGGAACGACAAGATCTGTGGTTGTAAATCAAGACAGTCCAGTCGGCCAGGAAGATGAAAACAATCACATCCACAACGATGATGAACCAGAAGATATGGCCTACATCTTCACCTTAGCCCAAAGCAAACCCACCGAATACATCTGCATATCTCCATCCCACCCCACACAGTGAGGACTTCCTCCATGGACTCCTTATTTCATTATGTCTGTGGTCATGTGACTAAATGCCATAATTCATTTATCTATTTGCGTTTAGGAAAGCGCATATGTTCCCCAAGTGTCCGAAACAAACAAATGTTGAACCAGTTCCACCTGCTTTCTTTGGAGGAGATGTTCCACCAAAAAACATGGAGGAGGCCCCATTACATCCCTATCAGGGGTCAGACGTGGATTGAGGAAAAAAGAGCCAAACATTTTTGTAAAATGCCTAGAGTTTAAAACATTTTTATTTCCAGAAATTGAAAAATCAATCAAATCAAAAAGATAACGATCCATTTATTTTTTACTTATACTTTTCTTTAATAAAATACTTTTATAACTTCCAAGATTGCATCTTAGAATGCCTTCTCAAAGCATAGCTGCCTGTTAAAAAAAATATACAAGTATAAAGCACCAAAGATAGTGTAAGGATGATTTAAATATGTTGGTTCCAGGAGACTTTTATAAACAGAATCTTTCCCAATCGAATTTGAAGAGCTTTTGTAAAATAACAGTAAAAGTAGATATGTTATTTAAGAAAATTTTAAATGCTTGTTTGGCAAATTATTCAACAAAATCAATTGTAAGGATGACCTTAGGGGAAATGATATTATTACAAACGTATTGAGTTAACATGAGGCAGTGAGGCAAGCTGTTCTGACATTATAATGTTATAATATCGTGATTAGGATCCAAGAGGACTAAACAAATGAAAGGCGGAATGCTCCTTATTGCGGAAAAAACTGAAGATTGAAACACCGTTTTACTCGATTCCAGGCCACTTCTTAGCCCTTGTGTTTTCCCACGCAAGAATAATTTTAGTATTAGTTATTTTGTTCGTCAAAACAACTGTGTAGATTTTCACACTTCATGGTCTTTTGCGACCTCACGCTTTTGCGCCATCTCGTCATTTGGCGTTACTGTCCAGCTCCTGTCGCGCTGGACAGGACGGGTGGCGCGCATCCATCCTGAACCTGGCGCCCTCACTCACGGAAACTTCTCTCTGGGGCGTTCTCGCGCTGTCATGGACCAGAGAGCAATAAAATAAAGCGTGTAACCGAAGCCAGAGTCTAATCCGAGCGCAAAGTTTGCCCCTCCACGGAGCCGAATCCCCGCGCGCTTTTTTCCCACCTCGGTCCCGTTTGTGGGAGGAGAGACCCCAAAACAATGAATCATCTTTGAGGAAACTTTCCTCCTCATCAATAGGAATACAGAAAAAAGGCCACGCCCACTGCCGGGTTCTCAAATGCGTAAAAGAACAAATCAGTGCGCACTGACCTCCGGATAGGCTAAAGAACGCACTCACAGAAAGGTTTAGACTTTTTTTTGTTTGTTTGTTAAAGCTTTCGTCATTTTAAAAGTTGCAGAAACATTTCTCTCGCGTGCGTCGATGCCGCTTGCACGTGCACACCAACCAGACTCGTGCGTAAAAGCGTGTTTTTCCCTCCGGAGATCATGCGCAGCTTCTCCAAGTTGCGCATCCCGGGAGAGGATGCGCCAACTATCCCCTCCGGAGTGAGAGATGCCGCTATTCTGGGGGCCGTCCTCTACCCGGCTCCCCCCGTCTCTCATCCCGGGCTGGACTTTCCTAGGCGCGCGCCCGCGGAGCCCCCGGTCTTTTGTCGACCGTTCCAAATCGGGGAGATGACCAACGACGACCCCGTGGTGTATTTAGAGGCCAGCGACCTCTGGAGACAGTTCCACAAATGCGGCACAGAGATGGTCATCACCAAATCCGGAAGGTAAATATGTCTTATTTTCATATCAAATCAATGATTGTGTGTAAATGTGCGCTCCTCTCGTGCAGGCGCATGTTTCCGCCCCTCAAGACCAGGTGCGCGGGCATGGACAGAAAGGCAAAGTACATTTTGCTGATGGACATAGTGGCGGCTGACGACTGCAGGTATAAATTTCAGAGCTCGCACTGGGTCGTTGCGGGGAAGGCGGACCCGGAGATGCCCAAACGCATGTACGTCCACCCGGACAGTCCGGCCACGGGCGAGCAGTGGATGTCCAAGGTGGTCAACTTCCACAAACTAAAGCTGACCAACAACATATCCGACAAACACGGATTTGTGAGTTCAAAATGTGCAGCTTCTAGCTTTCATTTCTTTTTTTTTTCTCTTTATATCACAAAGTGTGAGGAGTTTCCTTCATATATGGTACACTGTAAATAATATTCGTACAATTAACAGTGAATTCCTGTAAAATCATGACCTAAAAAAAACTGTAGATGCAAAAACAATGAAGCATTGTGTAATTTACAATGATAAACTGTAAAATTCCTAACCAAATACAACTGTTCATTTTACAGTAAGAATATGTTGGATAGATTAGAATTTTTTGTATAATTTGCAAATTAATGTAATTATAACACAAACAAACTGTAATGCCAAAAAAAAAGTCATACAGTTGAAATTACATCATTGCCCTGTTAAAAAAAACCTAACTTTGAATCTGAACTTATAAGTTCAGATTCAAAGTTAAGTTCAATTAATGGTATTATTTATTAGTTTTTCTATCTTTTTCAGACAATTCTCAACTCGATGCACAAATACCAACCCAGGTTCCATGTAGTGAAAGCGAATGACATAATGCAACTTCCATACAGCACTTTCAGGACCTACGTGTTTGCTGAAACCCAGTTTATCGCAGTGACAGCTTACCAGAATGAGAAAGTAAGAGTTCAACTTGAATCCACAAAAAAAGATAAAGTATTTAAATGTCATTTTTTTGCAAATAAATAAATGTCTGTTTTATGTAAACGATAAGATCACGCAGCTGAAAATAGACAACAATCCGTTTGCGAAAGGATTCCGAGATACTGGGAACGGCAGGAGAGAGAAAAGGCAAGTGTGTTAGTCTAGTTGAATATTTATTTAGACAATATGAGTTGAGAAGATCCACTGGAAAACCTATCAATGGGCAGCAGGGTATTCTGATGGATTTGTATTATTTATTGATACAATCGATACAAATGTCTCTGTTGAAATCTCTTCTTTTAATATTTGTGTGAAGCTTCAAGAAGGGAAGGTGGCATATTTTTCCCAGACAGCTACACTAGTTATTTAGACGTTTAAAACAATTAACTTTCTAAAATTGGTAGATTTCTCATGTGAGGTCATCTGTTTGCAGATGCTTCCACCTCAGTCCAAACACAGGAATCTTAGGATAAGTGGCTAATCTAAATAAAAACATCAGTCTGAGTGATTATTAATTCAGGGTTAACAAACTGGATCCAGTAGATCAGATCTACATAGTCCCTGTAACGGACTACTGACCTGTCCAGAGTGTGTCCGTGGTCAATTTTTGAATGGAGACCCTGAACAGGATGGAGTTATTACAAAATAGAAGGATAAACTAAGAACATTTTTTGGAATACAAATGTAGTCGGTATAGTTTTTGAAAGCCTTGAATGCAAAGGTATTAAGTCATTAAAGATACAATATATTTTTTGTGTACTTTAACTCCTTAGTCTGTAGAAAATCATTTTAATAAACAATTCCATGTAATGATATTGGCTCTAAATAGAAAAAACAAAGAATAGATCTTTGTTCAGCATCTGTCAGATCCAAAATAAGAGTTCACAAGCAGCCTATGTATTAAACTTTGAACTGCCATCGACCTGAAACCGGTTTCTAATGTTTATGCTATCAAAAGTTTTCATTAACTTTTCTTTTCTCTCAGGAAACTTCAGCTATCGCTGCAACGGTTCAAAGAAATGCATTTGACCGAGGGAAAAAATGACCCCTTAAAGTATTCTATAAAACATTCAGACAACATCAAGTCTTCAGGTAAATATTGAACATTTGATTTATTTAGTTATTCATTTCCACTTAGCACACATACCTTATAATCCTAAATTCACTTTTTCCTGCCTTTTTTTTCTCTCCCAGAAGACGCTTATGGAAGTGAAAGTGATCAAGACAACCCTGAGCAGGACCCAGAGCCAAAGGTGCGTAAAACCCAGCGGGAGGCTGACCCGGGGTCAGGTGGGAACCCAGAGGTCAGAGGGAACCGCCTGACCAGTCCAGGAGACTCGGACGAGGAGCCAGTGGGCAGATTGAGCAGCTGTGTGGTTTCCCCGGGATTAAACCGGACTCTCTGGGATCTGAGCATGTCCAGCGGTCTCCTTCACGCCGCCCAGGTGGACGCCTGGTACCGCGGCGCCCCCCCAGACCCGGCCAGGACTCCGTTTCCCATCAGCCCCCAGCAGCACGCACTGGAACAGGTACTGCAGACTATAGGATATCGCACAGTTTTGGGTTTTTTATCTCTTTTTATTGAACACAGAACATAGTTACATTCTTGGCTAAAGATATAGATTTTGGTGTTTTAAACATTTCAAATTGCACCCCCAACCCCCACCCTTCAGAACTACTGTGCATCTACCCACTAGATCAATAAGCAATAAAACCATAGTAAGTCATTTATATACACATATACATCTTAGGCCATAAAGAAAAGGAAAGTTTAAAAAAAAAATTAAGTAGTTATCATGATAAATACAACCAAGGAGTAGTGAAACAACATTAACCATGTATATTCATATATGAACATATATTCCTACCTTACATAACAAAGGGGGACAGAATAGCCTTATTAATTTAACTTCTGGAGGTCTTGGCCATCAGATTTCGATGGTTTACTCTCAGGGATTCTCAGGAAGTGTCTTAAGCTTTTCAAAATATGGTATTAATTGACTCCAAATACCATAAAAACAATCGTTGGATCCTCTTAGTATATATTTAATCTTTTTTCATTTTAGGTACAATATTAGTATGGTCAGCCATACAGATATTTTTTGTGGACAGGAAGATTTCTGTTTTTGTTTTTGGTAAATTCTTAATAGATTTGCAGTGGATTCTTTCATTTTTTTAGTCTAATTTAGTTAGGGGTTTTTGGTGGATGTGACTAAGGGAACTTAATAAGTGGATAACATAATAAGAAATAGTCTGGATAAAATATGTCTAGAATAGATTAATAATATGTTAAATTGATTCCCTTTAAAACTGGAAACCTGGGAGATACAGCTGGACTTTAAATTGATCCATTTTATTTGTGAGAAAATATGTTTTTGTTTGTTTGTTCTTTGTCAATGTGTGCCCTATTTGTTCGGATATCCTTTTAAAGTCAGGAAAAGGCATTCGTATCAATACTTTTTTTTTTTTAAATGTTACAAAATAATAAGCAAGCAAGTATAATTGAAACATTTGTAAATCACATCAGTTTTTTAGTGTTATCCGCACATTTTTGCCTAAAAAGTAGAAAATAAATGCATGTTAAATGCAAGTGAAATTTGATTTTATAAGGCACAATGATGAAAAAGGTTTCAGAAATCAATAGATTGAATATTGTACAAATGCTATGAAAGGATTTCCATTTATTTATTTCCACATGCATATGAGATTTAAGAGAATTTAAAATAACATGATACGCTGAATCCTTTCAGAGGAAACTGAAATGGCAATCCATAATTTAAAAAAAAGTCACATGAGCTTGGTAGAAAAAAAATAGATGAAATGGATAATTATTAGAAATACTAACTTATTTATAAGAGACTTGTTCTAAAAATAACTGTGAAAATAAAAGAAAATATTAACAAGGCGTATCGTAAGTCTGAAAATGCTTAAAAGTACATCAAACTACTTCAACTCAAGGAAAAGGTGCTTAAAGCGCTTCAGTGACAAAAGATTCTTAGTTTTGGTTTTAAAAAATTGTACTTTTTTCATACAAGTTGCTCCTGTTTGAAATTGCTCAAGGGCACTCTGGATATTTTTACCACCAGTAGTTTTTAATTGGGGTCATGACAGATATTTTATTGTCGCTAATCAAATGTCTAAATATTTCTTCTTTAACAGAGTCAGCTTAAGCGTTGGGCATTTACAAATGGTAGCATTTTATCTTTGCAGCTGACCATTTTAGCTAACCAGGACCGCAAGCCGAGCCTCAGACATCCCTGAAAAGTCCCTGAAACACTATTTTTCTTTTGTTTTCAGGACCTGCTGAGTCTCCCCCCCTACGCGGGCCTTCTGTTTTACCCTTACTCCAACATCTGCGCAGCATCGGCCCACTACCTCCTCCCCCATAGGTCCAAACCAGACTTCAAAACGTGTCCGGACGCCCACAGCTGCAGATTCTGTCCCTCTCAAATGATTTCTTCATTTGTTCCTCCGGTAGGGGAGAGTAACGTAAAATATCTCAATGAAGAATTGCCTTTGGGGCCTAAATTGGGACAGAAGACGCAGGTGGACGAGGGGAGAGTGGACAGCAGCCTGGAGGAGTCCCGGACTGAGAAGGAATATTGATCCGTTTGTGTGTGTGTGTGTGTGTGTGTTTCAAAGGGAGACTTTAAAGTTATGATGCTGAAGTACGATACCTGACCATTCTGGTAAAATCCCACTTTGTTTCATTTAATGCAGCTCAGTGTATAAATAACATCAGAACTTTGGTTTAACAAGCTGCTTTGTGCATTATATGGAGGTTAAAGTACTTTGTTCCCTGAATTGAACTCATTTATGACTAATTTATGGTCATCAAACTGGAGGATGTGGAAATTACCTTTAATGCAATAAAGCAAGGAAATACTATCTTTGTTTTGTTGTTTTTACATTTTTGTTAATGATCATTAGCAACTGTAAACACAAACATACGTGTACTATTTACATAAAAACACACACACATCTATAAACGTGTATGTGTGTGTGAGTCCTAATACATCTACTATCCACTGACATGACCTTACCCTTAATCAACTAAACTAGTGCTAATCCCTTATGCTGACACTAACCATGGTATATTTCTAAACTTACCCCTAGAATTAAGTGGTAGGCTGTGAATGTATTTTCATTCTAACCTTTGTAACACAACTGACTCTCTTGGGATTACTTGTCTTTATTCTTTTGTTTTTCTTTTTTCCCACTTTTTCACAAATACAAGATTATTCCCTTTGGATTGATAGAATATAAATAATGAATGTACGGTATTATTAATGAATGAAGCAAATATTAAATGACATTTAAGAAGATCTGTATTACAGTATGTGGTATCAAACAGGGAAAAATTAAAGACAGCAAATATCATGTCACATTTAGGTCCACGTGGTGGTCAGGACTTTCGTTACAAAATAGGAGGGTTTTTTGTTGGGATCCTGCATTTCTTTTTCAATGTTTGCAGCCATACATTGCAGATCTTCTTTATATTTGTTGTTGAGAGTGTCGTCTCCTCTGCTGTCATCTGTTGGGGCAGCAGCATCAGAGCCAGGGACGTAAAAAGGCTCCTTAACCTGAACCAGAAGGCTGGTTCTGTTCTGGGGACGACTGAAGAACCTCAATAGACGATGATGATGTAAAGAAGGATTTTGATTTTGCAGAAAATCAAGACCATTATGGACATCCATGACTGGGTGTACTTTGCCTCCCACCCGTTACATACTGGGATATACTGTATGTTGCCACTATATCTCTCTCTCTGGGTGTTGCAGCATCATCCCAGCTTTCAATAACCCGAATGCCAGGTTGGTTTGAAGCTGCAAACTGGCCTGAGGAGTGATTGTGAGCATGCCTGCTTGTGTGTCTCTTTTGTTCCTTTGTGGCTTTGTGATGCACTGGCAACATGTCTGTGTACCCCACTTGTCCCACAATTATTTAGAAGAAAATAATATCCATAAATATTCATGGTAATTATCTGAAATTAAATTCCAAAATCAATATGCAAATCAATATTTCATCCTGTGAATTATTTTTGTTGTTTAAACCAATTTGTTTCGAGTTCATACAGAAGTTTATTATTCAAAGTAATAATCTAATATATATTCACCATCTTTGATTTATAGACACACCCACACATGCATACTGAATTCCCCAAGGGAAATAATAGCTGACTCTGCAGTTTTTTTGGTTTATTCCTTGTTGTTTAAAAGTAAATATTTACTTTTAAACAACAAATACATATCTGCTGACGGAAGGGAAATATCCTGTGTCTCCTGTTGTCATGGAATGCATCATTACCCAAACCTGGACGACGCGTGTTGATTACGTCATTTTTAAGAGACAAGAAACGGAACCCAAACAAACGCTCGGATGCAACTAGCCAAATATCGCTTTCGCTAACCATGCACAGCCATTTGATTTGGTTCCACGGTGCATAGTGACGGTGACAATGATTTCCGTTAGCTATATCCTTCTGTGCGGACAGTTCCTGCTGCTTCTAACGGTGATACTATTACAATGTTTAGAAGGAATCCACTCTCAAAACTCGTCCACAGCGGATCCTACTGTTGCTACTGCCTCTCCCAGCCAGGGAGCTACCATCCTCCCCTTTAGCGAGACGCCCGATAATGTAAAATATGAAATACCGATTGAAAGTGTTAACAACACGGAGCTCTATGAGTACAAGCCCCCTTCGCCAGTGGTCCTCTGCAGCTACCTGTGAGTAATGTTAAGTTTAATAATAATTATTAACATGTAGGTGTTAGCTAATGCTAACTATTGGTTCCTACCATTAAGCCAATAAGAAATTTGGTACCTTTAGAAATCAATCAGTTATGACCACGTACAGAAAAGAAGCCTTATCATAAATCAACACAGGGTTGTTTAAAAACGGAAAAAATCGAATATTGTGTTTTCCTCTTATAACGTAGAAGGGAATGCTTTAAAACCAATGACTATGTATTGAATTCACTGCTATGTGCTGCACTGTTTTTAAATCTGTCAGCCAACATGTTTCGCCTAAGAGTTGTGCAAAATCGATCCTCCTGAAGGTTTTTAGGCTCATCTAAACAGAATCAGGCGTGTTCAAGCAGGGGAACTTCTAAAAACCTGCAGGAAAGAGGGCTGGAGTTGGACACCCCTGGCCTAATAGTTTTATGAAGTGTTGTCTAGTCCTTACTGGAGCTTAAATGCTATATAATGATAACCCAATGTCCAGACTAAGGAATTATATTACTATATTACCATCTAGTGAGCCACCACCTAACAGTTGAAAAAACTTTGTGGAAAAACTAAGTTCACTCCATAAATCGGAATCTTGTAGAATCCACTTTATTTGTAATAACTAGTGTTTTTGGTGGATGCATTTGCTTTTCTGCAAAGCCCAGTAGTGGACAGGTTAACTCTCTGCCAGAAATGTGGCTTTTTGGGCGTCAAATCAGTTATGATATTGTGTCCAATTTTAATTGTGATATGTTTTTACTTATTTTAAAGGCCATGCAAGGAAAATAACTACATTTTCCTTCATTTTCATTACACAAAACCAGTTTGATTTGAAAGATTGACATTGGTTCTTTTTACACGTATTTTTGAATATGATTAATATGAAATGTAATGTTTTGTTATCTAAAACTGCAGGAATTTATACATAGATTTTTTTAAATGTTTTGCTCATCAAGTATAATGTGTTTTTTTTACTTGTAAAGGTTTCAGTCATTTTCACATCGGTTGTTAACACGCTACCTTCTAAGCTTCCTCCATCTTTGCTTTCTTTTTTATTTATTCTACGACGAAGACCCGAGGAGTTCATCTTCTGCCAAGACCCCGTGGATCATGCCGGAAACCACAGCGCCTTCCAGGAGATGGGCCACGGCTGCATTACGGTGAGTGCCGCTTTTTCACATTATCCCCAGCCGCCGCCTCGTTTAAGACCGGAACTGACCTCCTGCTGTTCACGTCCAGTGGGGGGGTCAGACTCAGAGCGAAGTGAACACCACTCAGGTCATCTGCACTGCGCTGGACGACATAGAGTGCGCCGGACCCCGAGAATTCCTCAGAGGGGAGGTACCCTGCATCAAGTAAGTCGAGCCAAACGCAAAAAATCCAGAGTATTTATTTTATCTGCTTCCGTCACACACATAGTTATGGCTTTGTAGGAGGGGGGGGGAGCAGTTTCCATAAGTTTATGTGGAAAGAATTGTTGAAAAGTAATTTGATTTTTAAAAAAAAGGTTGTTCAAACGGAAGGGAAATGTTTGCACCACCGTGTTTGACCACTAGAGGGCACTGCTTACAGAAACAAAGCCAGGACATACCTTATGCCCCCCCCCCCCCCCCATCACAAGGTTCATCAACAATTTAATTCCCGTAGTAATAGCTTACAGTGTCTCTCTTTAAGTGTAGATCTGGTCAGTTCAGTGGTCAGTTCCACTCAGATCCTGTTTTTGGTCGCATTAGTATTTCCATCTTTTCTGCTGAGACGTCGAATCCCCCCCCCTCCCCCTTTGGCCCTCACAGATACACTGGACACTACTTCATCACCACGCTGCTCTACTCCTTCTTCCTGGGGTGCTTCGGGGTGGACCGCTTCTGCCTGGGCCACACGGGCACGGCGGTGGGGAAGCTGCTGACCCTGGGGGGGCTGGGCATCTGGTGGTTCGTGGACCTGATCCTCCTCATCACCGGCGGCCTGATGCCCAGCGACTACAGCAACTGGTGCACCTACTACTGGGGGGGGGGGGGGGGGGCTACAGGGCTGTACAGGGGAAAATATTGGAATACATCTGATGTTATTTACTTGAAACATCCCGTTTATTGAATTCATTAGAAGTTAATAGAGTTCCAGACATCACAGGAGTTGTCATGGTTGTGGGTTTGTTCATCTGGACCTTATCGAGGAGAAGAAAACACAACTAAACAGAAGTTAGATGGGCTGGACGGAGCTTTTACCGAATTTTTTTTAAAATATGTTGTTTGTACGCTAATTGCAGTGTAGGACAAAAGCTGGGTGTTTTTTGTTTTTCTTTCCCATCCTGAGTCTCACAACATGTCTACTAAATGCTTAGAAGACCTGCATACCCAGTTTGAGGCCTCGAGTTTAATTTGAGGGTTTGAGTTCACACATCCGTCAGTGCATAATCGGTCTGTTTTCGACATGGTTCGGGTTTATTTCGGACTTGTTCCCTGTTCCTGATAGCAGCCTGCTTGTTTCCATGTCTCGGTTATCAGAAATGGGCTCGTTGTTTGCACACAACTTGACAGAAATTCTTGCCGTTTGCGTTCTGCTGCAGGTTCAGAATTGACCAAATGTCACCATATTTTCTCTGTGTTCTCTCTGTCTTTTTGCTGGTGAAACCATTTCTCCTGCCCTCGAATAGAGACGGCCCAAGTCCAGATTTTGCCGTACAGCAAAGAAAATTAAATCTGGAGATCTGGTGATCCTTCAGAGGTAAAAAAAAAAAAAGGGTGCTTTGGCTATAGACGACGGCTGTATTGAAACAAAAAAAACATGTGGGACCGAACACCGTCAGTATGCAGAGCAAATAACTCACCTGTTGATTTAATGTTTCATATGTGCCGTGCGTGGGTTTTGTGAGGGAGCCCACCTCTTAGACACCGTTCCTCTGTAGGAATTATGTCCAGTCAGCACAATTAATAGAAAGAGGTTATGTCAGTGTCAAATGAATCAAGACCTGAGTCTTTCTGTATTCGTCAATCCGACCCAGCGACTGACTTCTGAAACGATTCAGCCTTTTTCTAGAGGGCAACATCCCACCTGATTTATGCAGCCAATAACTGACCGTTCTCTCGCTTCTACAGCCGGATGTTTCCATTTTTTTCCCTCCCCCCCCCCCCTCCGTCGGTTAGCTGTGACGTGGGCCACGCTGAGTTTGATTTAGCCGTTTTTGCCTCAAACTGGAGGAATGCCTTAAGATGGCGCGGGCCTAGCATTCCTTTGCTCTGTGGGAAGTCCTCACTTGCTCTGGATCCAGCTGCCGTCCACTCCCGCCCAGATGTGTTTCGCTAGAGGAAATCTTGATCTTCCCGCAGGCTTAGCTCTCACGGTTTTAAGTCATCCCTACATGGATGGTAAGCTATGCGCAACAAAGTTCCACGAAATGAATAATACAGACATACGGAGTTCTGTCACTGTCAAGAAAAAACAAAACAGTATTTCCTGGTTGGAGTTTTGCTTTCCTCCTCAGATGTTTTCAACAGTACCAGAAAGGCAATTTCTGTTCAACCTCAGCCTCCCTGGATGTCTTGGCCTTGTAAAATACTCTATATATGTATATATATGTCCCGACTCCCCAAACTCCCCATGGCTTTTATATTTTTTACCGTAACCCCGTACACTTATTTATTTACCCTCCTTGTTTCATGTGTTAAGAAACACAAAAAGGTTTAGGGAATATGTTTGTTTCATTCTGTCCTGTTATCAGAATGGAAAAATCTCTGCTGTGATTTGTGATCTACAAACAGTTCACGTTTCCAATGCTGTCATCTGTGGAAAACTTCCAAAATCACACTATGGGTTTAGCATAATTCCTCATTGAATTCCTAAATTCAAAGTATCTGGCATTTTGAGTTCTCTTTGTTTGATTTGAATTGAATTGTAAATGTACTGATGGTGAAGTAAAAATGTTTCTGAAACACTAGTTGAGCTACATTTGTGGTCCTTTAGGGTTTCAGCATGTGATGAAACATTTTCCAACATCAAAGGAAAATGTTGCTATTTACTAAAGAGACAGGACATTGAGACTAACCTGGTTTTATAGAGAGTGATTTTAAAAAAAAATAAAAATAAAAAGCTATTTAAGAATAACTACATTTTATTTAGGTCAATAGCAATATTCATGTTGCCATGAAGAAAATTTCTCTCTTTGAAAAACAGCGTGTCTTTTCAAAATTGCAGCTCAAGAAACCACAACAAATCGGGAACAATGTCCTTTGGACAGACATGCCCAAAATGAAGAGGTTTGCACAGAAAACACACAACATTAACTATAATGTTTTAAACGGACCTGGACTTTACAGCCTTTGAATCAAATATGACCTCATGAGGCCAACATATTTAGATACAATGGGATTGAAATCGGTTTGAGCTCTGCATAAGCAAATGCCTTCGGTCCTCTTTGAATTGAACTGCAACAATACTGTAACATTAAAAGGGTGTCGATTCCTATGAAATGTGTATGAATTTTCAATTACTTATGTTTATTATTTACAGGGGGAAACTATTAATTTGAAAGCACTTAAAATGAAGTCCTACACATGTACAGTTAGTTTTCACTGGGTCTGGTTTATTTCTGGATACTTCATTATGATAAACATTATGATAATCAGCTTTAAAGTCCCAATTTTACAAGAGAAAAGAAGGGAAAGCTAAATGAGTGAATGTCAAATTCTTTCAGTACAGTTTTTAATCATCAGAATCAGCAAAAGAGATTAACAATGCATATTTGAAATGATATTCTTCATGGACAAATTAGTTTTTTTTTTTTTTAGCTAAAATTATCATCCTATCATCATGTTAAAAGAAAAAAAAACAACGTGATTTTCTGTACCGTATTTTCCCGACCATAAAGCCTGCATCAATATAAACTGCCGATAAGTCCTGAACCAATTAGTCTCTGAAAGGTACCTGTAGTGTAAAAGTAAAAGTCCTGGTCAAACTAAACAGAAAAGTGATTGTTTGGGTCATTCATTGTCCTCCTGTGGACCGAAAACCACTGTGGTCATCTTCCTCAGAGTCGGAATGGATCAGCCTTAGAAGAACTCCGTCAAACGCCGGTACTTTTTCCGTGTCGCTGTTTACCTGGGGTGAAGCCGTCACCCTGTTTTCCAGGGTTGCAGAGACATTGTGGAACCTCCTGGAACCACCACAGGGATTGTGGTCGGTTCTCTTGATGACGGACCGGTGATGTAGGCCTTTACACTGTCCAAAACAAGCGGCCCCTTTTCCAGGTGAGGCATTTTTCTTTGGTGCTTTGGGTGGCACCCCGTCTACTGATCCTTTATCAAGCCTCCATCCTTCCAGGTTGATCTTGACCACAGCGCCCTTCAGCAGTTGGTCTTTGGGCGTCGTTCACCTGACCAGGATGTGGGTCACATGTGACCCCTCGTGTCCGGTGTTTCCGTCGGTTCCACTGATGAGGCTCTCAGTTGGATTCACCCGGCCGTGTGCTCCCTCTGTATTAGCCCAGACCTCAGAAGCATGCCAAAGTTCAGGCCTGTGCTGCCAGATCCACATGTGGTGTCCATGATGAAGGGATATGGGTTTGGGAAAAAAATAATCGTGCCTACTGCTTGCCTGTGCTAACTGAAAATTTAAAAAATAGGGGCCTATAGTCGGGAAAAGACGGCAATTCTATCATATCAAACGAATAAAAATCACATGATGGTATGATGGATATGTAAGCAGATCTTCATTGCATTATGGAGCCTATATGTGAGCCAAGATCTCTGCACCTATATGTGAGCGGTATGTGTGAGCTGTTCTTCATTGCACATGCATGTGGAAATACTAAACAGAGCCATGGTGATAAGATTCTAAAATGATAATATGAAGCATAAATGATAACATTAAAAAATTATATGAAACATGAATGATAGGATTTTTAAAAAATAATATGAAGTATAAATTCTAAGATTAAAAATTATCATATTAAGCAAAAAAAACATAAAATGAAACAATGATATTTTGAAGCATAAATGATAAGATTAAAAAATGATAATATGAAGCATAAATGATAAGATTAAAAAATGATAATATGAAGCATAAATGATATAATTCGAGCTTGAGCTAGACATTTCATATCAGGAGTAATCATCATGGTACCAGGAACCAAACTTGTTTCCCAGGAGTGTGTAACCTTCTTAAACTCAACTGATAACATTACTGCCAGATAAATGACAATTGATAGTGATAATAAATGACACAATAGCAAACATAAATCTTAAAAAGAAAATGATAATATAGTAAAAAGGAAAAGAGAACACTACGATTATCACATCTCTTCGTGTGTGGACACTATATAAGGAAATCTAGTAACCTAAGCAAAATCAGTGTGACTACAGGGGTTCAGGGATTCAAAAGCGGTCTTCATCAGCATCTTTGATCTCCTCCTCTCTGCTCTGGGCTCAGAGAGGGAGACCAATCACACTGCTTCACCTGCATCCTGCAAAAGTTAGTATGAACACACAAACATTTTGGGAAACACAACCACTCCAGCTCATTCACCCATTAGAGACAGTGTATTTATGGGACAATATATTAAAAAATGATCAATAATATTAAAAAAAAATACAGGGCTGTTAAGCTGTAACCTGATGAGAGACACTCATCACAGTGTTAGTTTATTGTTACGCACACTTTCTTTTGATTCTCACATTGTAGTGATAAAAGAGTAGTTAGTGAACAGAGCTTTCAATTGATGTGAGCTGAAATTCATAGTGGCATTTTGAGTAGATCTAAGATTAAACTGAGAAATCGGGAGGGCTGCAAACCAGGTTGATTTGGATCAATTTTATTTAGCCAGTGCCTCTTTAATAGTGTGGTAAGCCTCTGTAGGGTGGCCTTGAAGATGGGAATGGATGGATGAAAGAGGGAGGCTGACCGGGAGGGGGGAGGGCAAGAAGGACGTGAGCTGATAACGCAGGTATGTGTGTACCCCGTTGTTGGGCAGAGAAGTTTTGACCCATCTGTTTAGC